CTTATACACTTATCAATATCTCTGTGCCTCAGTTCCTTCATTTCTAAAATGGGACCAGTAGTACAACCTACCTCATGAAGTTATTGTGAAGATTAAATGAATTAATGATTGGCAAATAGTAAGTTTTATAGAGTTAATTAAATAAACCTATAAAATACTTCGTCCAACCCCTGCCCCATCTCACTTCGGTTCAACCTTTGACAGAGTTTGGCTCTTTTCCCATCCAAATCTCATTTCAAATTGTAATTCCCACATCTGGAAGGAGGGACCTGGTGGAGGGGTGATTGGTTTATGGGGGCAGTTTCCCACATGCTGTTCTCATGATATTGATTGAGTTCTCATGAGATCTGATGGTTTAAAAGTGTTTGGCATTTCCCATTTATTCTTCTCTCTCCTGCCACCATGTAAGACATGCTTTGCTTCCCCTTTACCATCTGCCATGATTATAAGTTTCCTGAGGCCTTCTTACCCATAGGTAACTGTGAGTCAATTAAACCTCTTTTCTTTATATATTACCAAGTCTCAGGTAGTTCTTTATAGCAGTGTGAAAACTGGCTAATACAACCTTCCTGTCCATCGCCCATTGTTGTCCATATCATTTATGGACATGGCATTACTCTTTAATATAGTTGTTTGGAGAAAATCATAGTATTACTCTTTGATGGGAAAATACTCAATCAGGCTCTTTCTATGTGGAGAAACTCACAGAGGTGTCTTGTTTGACAAACAGGCCATTTAAGATAAGCAAGGTAGCCGGGGAGTTATGCATTCATGCTTTACAGGCTGCTGTCAACTGCTAAACTCTGGAAATTCTTCCTTTCTAATTCCACTTATTCATAGTGCAATCTTCATTATTCTGTAGCCTTGGCCCCTATAAAGTGCAGCATATATAGGAAATGGGGCACTTACTATTGGGATGCTTCTTGTAGTACTTCCAGCCTAGATGCCATTGTGTTTCCATCACAAACAACAGAGAAACAAGAGGAGAACATTCTCTCTTGGAGAAAACTATCTGATTATTGAACATCAGGCACATTTTCTTAACATTGCACTGGCCAATCTTCCATGCACAGTGATATGGTTTGGCTTGTCACCCAAAATCTGATCTTGAATTGTAATCTCCATAATCTTCATGTGTCAAATGCAGCACAGGTGGAAACTGCCCCTGAATCATGAGGGCAGTTTCCCCCACACTATTCTTGTGATAGTGAGTGATTTCTCACAAGATCTGATGGCTTTATAAGGGGCTCTTTTCCCCTTCACTCAGCACTTTCTCTCAGCACTTTTTCTCGCTTTGTGAAAAAGGTGCCTTGCTTCCCCTTCACCTTCCACCATTATTGTAAGTTTTCTAAGTCCTCCCCAGCCATGCTGAACTGTGAGTCAATTAAATCTCTTTCTTTTATAAATTACCCAATTTAGGGTAGTTCTTTATAACAGGACAAAAGCAGGCTAATATAGCAATAAGGAAGATTAGAAAGTTTTATTTTATTCTGAGTGATTATGAGGTCTGCTAATAATCACAATTTGATGGAGAAGAATGGGAGAATAGACACTGGTGATGTTTATTGATTTTCTGAATTGGTACCATAATATCTAGTTCATTTGCCTACCAGTTGGCTACAAAGAGTTATAAAGAGTAAAAAAAAAATAAGAATACCTAATAATTGTCAAATGTGGGCTATATACTGTGTATCAGGAGATACCGTTATCATTTTGATCTTCACAACAGCCTTGTGAGGCAGATTTCATTAGTCACATATAAAGATGAAAGCAATCAATCTGGTTGGGCATGATGGCCCATGTCTATAATCCCAGAACTTTGGGAGGTCAAAGCAGGAGGATTGCTTGAGCCCAGGAGTTGGAGATCAGCCTGGGTAACATGGTGAAACCCCATCACTACAAAAATTAAAGAAAAAAAAAAATTACCTGGGCGTGCTGGTACATACCTGTGATCTCAGATACTTCGGAGGCTGAGGTGGGAAGACTGCATGAGACCTGGAGATTGAGACTGTAGTGAGCTATAATCCTGCCACTGCATTCCAACCTGGGTGACAGAGTGAGACCCTGTCTCAAAACAAACAAACAAACACACAAAAAATAGTGTTCCTGAAGAGGGAAGAAAGGCTTGAGTTTCAAAATCAATGGATACTGAATATTATTGCCTATATTAATATCTCTTCCCTGGCAATAGCAAACTGTAGACAACAATTTCTGTGGTAACAGCTCACCTCAGTCCCCATTCTTTCAAAACTGTAAGTCACACCTTAGCCCATACTCTGGATCTGTTAACAGTATATGTTACATATGACCCCACACCCCTGGATGGGAGGTAAATGGATGGGTTAGAGGGGTTCTCTTGGCTGAAGACCAATTCTTTCTGAGCAGTTGGTAAATGGGGCTGAGAGGCTGTCAGCCACTTTAGGTTTCAAAATGCCAATTTGCTTTTCAGTATGTGAAGAGATGAAGGCAGCTGGACTGTAGAGAGACAAAGTGAAGCACATGTGTGAAGAGAAACAAAGATATAGGACAGAGAATTTGAGTGCCCTGGGTACCATAAGACTTTTTGCTTCCTGATTCTTTCATTTATTTCCTCTTTGCTTGCACTAGCTCAATTTTATTTCTGTTACTAAATGTAATGCAATGAACCTTAACTAATTCAAGAGGAAAATGGAATATTAAGAGAAGCAAAGTGGAAGAAGAACTTCTAAATCAGTCTACTACTGTACAGAAATGAGGTAGGAAACCAAGTCCCTCTCCAGAGATCCAAAGCAGCCCTGTTGTTCAGACCCTTCCTTCCAGTCCCAGTTTGGAGTGAAGAATAGTTTCCTCACTACTTGGGTAACTGATAACAGTATCTGAGCACAGAAGCTTCTTTCAGAAAAGTGTTCTGGAATCTTTGCCCTGCAAGATATTTGAAATGGAACTGTGCAAGCTTACCAACAGAGTCTCACTATTCATAGTGTAATGGGAACAACAGGACTCCCTGTGCATCTCTTTGGCCAGGGCCATCTAGAAGATAGAAAGCCTGAAATGAAAGATTCTTGAAATAGTATGCATGAAGATGATCTTTTCCCTTGGCACTCTTCCACAAGCCTTCCATCATTCTGTGCACTGAATTTCTTTCCATATGTTTTTCATTCATTTACATTTAAGATAAAAATTATTGGCTCTGAGGACCATTTGATGAGTGGTGATTCTTTTCATTGTGATCTCAGCCCAGTTGATGATGCATATCATCCATACAGAGTTCCAAGCAAGTGGAATCATTCATGATGCCATCTGAAGTCATCACTTGGTAATAACAGACTTGCATAAGTCCTTTTTCTTTCCAGCAAAAAAGTTTGAAATAAAATCAATATCTGTTTTTTTGCTACATTTTGAATTCACTTCTTTTAAGTTTATTTACTGAAAAACTAACATTGTAATTTTAGGACAAAGACATGTTTAATATTTGGAAATCATACTTATATCAGTTGCTGCTTCTAAAAACCGTAAGGCACAATTCAAATCTTTTAAATTAATTTTGGCATCTCTTACCTTAGTTTATATTCTAGAAAAAAATGGTTATTTAATTTATTTTAATTACTAGAAGCATTGAAAAACTCTTTCAATATGGTCATATTTATGCTACATTGAGCCACCTGACAGGCAATTACTTCTTTTCCTGATGGGTTTTATCATATTAACATTCAAAATATAGGCATAAAGCAAAGTAAGAAAAGAAGCCACTAATGTAAAATATTTGAGCCACTTACTCTAATATCTACCTGCTCATATCCTTCTTTGATGAAATGTAATTTCTCTCTTGCCTTCTGTGAAGCTGTGTCTGTATACCTGGTGCCAAAATATCAAGTTATTTTCATGAGACAGTCCAAAAATCAATGAAAAGAATTCATTTACCAATTTCTATAGTGACATATAGCCATATGTTTTTTCTTGACTGGGATTCTATATAAAGAGTTTGCCTAGATATAAAGATAAAATAGATATGGCCTTGGAGAAACTATTTTCATCATTTAAGAAATATATATATATATATATATATATATATTCCTGAGCCTTCACTGAAACTGTCCCACTTGGGTTTTTAGAATGACAAAAGGCATATTTTGCCTCATTTGCCTGTGAAAATATGCCTTTTTGAGAGCATGGAAAACCTATATTATTTGAAGCGCAACTTGATAAGTGTTTCATTTTTTATGAACCCCAGGAAAAGAAATTTATTCCATTTTTACAAATAGTAAAGTATTTTTTATTCCTAAAATCATCTCTATTCAACAGAAATTTGAATCATATACTTAGTATTTCCTGTCTAGATGGAGAATTATTCATAAAAGATAGCAGAATACATTTTTTCTTTTGACAATTATTAGAGCTAACATTGAGGGTTTGTTAAGAGCTGGCTATTTTGCAAATATTATCTCATCTAACATTTTCCTAACTCGAAATGTCCAGTTACCAACCCCATTTTACAAATGAGAAAATGAAATTGTGGAGTTTAAATAGTCTGCCTATAATCACATAGCTAGCAAAAGAAAGAGCCGAGATGTAAACTCAAGTTCCATCAAATTCTAAAAGCTTTGGTAGTAATTGTCCAAAGATATATCTATTATGAGTTTCAAAAAACACCATTAAGGAGAAGAGATGCCAAGATGCCAGGCATGGCCCCACCACTTACTTGTAAAGTGGGCTTGAGAAAGGTACCCTACTTAAACGTATATGTTTTTTTTTCCTTTTATAACATGGGATAATGATACCTTCTGTGCCTGAGAGTGTCAGAGGAGATTGTTTCTGCAAACGTACTTTGAATCTGCCAAGTGCTCTTCATTGGCAAGATATAACTATTAAGCTCATCTGCATCTAAAATGTTAGAACTTGACAGTGTGTGTCTGCTGCTAGGATGACAGATGAGAACCAGTGCGCTCTGGGCAGCAGGGTTGTGCATTCTTTTTGAGTGAGGAGTGATTGGTACTGATTGCTCCAGCTTTTCAAGTCATCTGTAGAAATAGAAAATATTGTTGTGTTTTATCGGAGGAAACAAGATACTGTTTCAGAGTATTCACATTCTCATCAATTTCTCTTGAAAAACATATAATTACACAATGGCTCTATCTGAATCCTGAGTGTGAAGAGTGAGAGATGGAATTGCAGAAAGCTGTAAGATGTGATGAGTATGGTGGAAGATGTGGATTTACATCCATTTCCTTTCCGGAAATGATGGCTTCATTTTCTGAAAGAGAAATTATAATGATAGTTTATATAAGAGAAATAGACTGTTCCTAAGACATCTTGAGAGATATTTTTGTTCAGAATAAGAAGTGGTTTCAGAACTAATCATAGATCCTAATTTCTGTCAACTTTAATGTTTAGAAAAGATCATCAGATGATCTAATTTTAGTATTGGTATTCTCTGTCTCTCTATATTTAGGTATGTAAATATATACATATGTGAAGATATGTATATGTACATGTACACTTAGAGAAAAGGTAGTGTCAGCATTTGATAGCCACCTCTCAATGAGCCCTTATTGAGAGCTTAAGGGTTTTTCTTTCTGTTATGTTATTTAATCTTCCCAACGATGTGATTTTTTTTTTTTTTTTTATTACCAGATGAAAGGCAGAGTCTTGGAGAGGCTAGTGACCTCCACCCATTACCTCTCCCAATAACTGTAATAGAGAACCAACTGTGTACCAGACATTTTGCATACATTATCTCCAGTCCTCAGAGCAACACTGTTAGGCTGTTAATATGGTTGGCTTTTTTTTTTTTTTTTTTTCCATTGCAGGCACTAATTCACTGAAGACTTCAAAAAATAACCCAAGTCATATACAACTACTAAGTTACACAGCTAAGAATTCATGCTAGGCTGGGCCAACTTCAAAGGCCAAGTCCACAAATGATGGCACAGATTATGTATGGTCAAGTTCATTGGTTATTGGCATAATTTCGTTCCTTGAAACCTCACCCTCGGGAGGCCACTGAAGTTCCCTGTCATGTGCTGTTCTCTACTACAGAGCAATTTGCCTCCCTAAGGACGGCAAAAGATTGTCTCTCTCCAGTGTGTTAAAATAGTCTTATATAACACAGTGCCATCAAGGGAATGACATAGCATTGCCTTTGGCACTTAATATAACCTTATCAAGGGAATGACATCTTACTTCATCAAGTTCTTTTGGACAAAGGCAAGACAGTTTCCACTGCACTCAAGGAGAGGGGATTATACAAGGATGTGACTCACCGAGGGTCACTTTAGGATATGTCCTCAAAAGTTAGTTCACCAAATAATTCTAGCCTGATTAGAAAGATTATATAATCTAATCTCTGTTATTCTGTCTTACATTATTATGTAAACAATACAAAGAGTTGAAGGCTCAAAAAAATAATAACTTACTTTATTAAGTTATATTAAAGTCATGTGCCAACATACTCTTTCATTGTCACTATCTTCCCACGTATCTTGGCCTTGATAATTATTGGGTATGTAGAATTGAAAGTTTTCACAAGAATCACTAATTATTGCAGCATTTTAACCTTTAAATGATAAATATTTATACTTCAAATGACATAATTTACCATGTAAAATGCAGGAGATTTTCATCCAAGTCATATCTAAAATGGTTGTCTTTTTAAAAATGAACATTTGGATATTAAAAATAAATTCAAATAGTATATCTTGTTCCTATGAAGATAAAGTGATTATTTCATTTTTTAAAAAAATATTTTTTAGCTATCTTTTTAAAAAATAAAATAGAGATCAGATACCACAATTTTACCTACGCTGGTCTTGAGCTCCTTGGCTCAAGTGATCCTCCCACCTTGACTTCCCAAAGTACTGAGATTACAGGCATTAGCTACCTTACCTCACCACAGTGACTATTTAGGATAAAAAACTGTAATCACTTTAGCATAGATAATACAAAATTCCAGAGATGATAGATAAAATGCTGAAGTAGGCTAGTCAGCTTCTCAGATAATGACTTTAAAGTTAGAAGCAATACCAAAGCCAGGTGTGGCAGCTCATGCCTATAATCACAGTACTTTTGGAGACCGAGGTGGGCAGATCACCTGAGGTCAGGGGTTCTAAACTAGCCTGGTCAACATGGAGAAACCACATCTCTACTAAAAATACAAAATTAGCTGGGTGTGGTGGCGCATGCCTGTAATCCCAGCTACTTGAGAGGCTGAGGCAGTAGAATCGCTTGAACCCGGGAGGTAGTGGTTGCAGTGAGCTGAGAGATCATGCCATAGGAATACCAAAGCTAAAGCCATTCTTTCGTCAATGCTGTGTCTGCTGACTTTTCACTCGTGGTGCTTTAGAATTGCTGTTCTATCCATATTCTGAATCGATTTTTCATTCTTATTTTTATTTACTTTTGTCTTCGATCATTTCTCTGGATTAATTTCATAAAAGATTTGTCTATTAGTTTTGTTCAAGAATTACCTTTGAACTTTGTTATTAAAGTTCTCTATGCCTTAGTTTCTTTTCTTCTAACAAGAGATAAAAATAGAGACAATCTCATAGGGTTGTTCTGAGGAGTAAATAAAGTTAT